AGGGCAGGGAGCATGTTCTGTACTACTTCTGTAATCCACCTGACTCAGGTTGGTACCTGAAAGGGCCGTCACATGTTTGCATGAAGGAACACATACATTCCGTCATCTAAAATCTGGTAAGAACCAGTATTGTCCCTGAAAGAGGGTGGCGGGTGGGTCTCTGAAGATGCCTGAATCCATCATGAAGTATTTACCAAGCAGTTATTTATTTAGCAGCACTGCTTTGCTAAAATCATGTAAAATCATTTCCATAATGGTAAACTGATATTAAGGCAAGAACCTGGAAAGAGAAGTGTCACCATTTCTAAACCACTCAGCTGACCAGAAAAATTTTCATTTCCAAAACTCATGGCCGTACTAATAGTGTGTCTTCAAACTGACCCGTGTGGATCGAGAGCAGGCGCTCCAGAGCCCTAAGCCTGGTCTGAATCCCAGCTCTGCCACTGTCTAGCTACACGACCTTGGTCAAACTATTTACTTTCTTGTGACTGTTTCTTCCTCTGTAAAATGGGGATAAATCTCACAAAATTACTGTGAGGACGGAATGTGTTTATAGGTGAAATGATAAAAACATGCTGGAACTTGCAAAACACTTAGTTTGAGCTGCTATCATCTGCACTGTGATAATTATTATCAGAAATATTTTTCATCATTATCTAGTAATTTAATTGACTGCCTTAAAAAACACACACCGCAAAGAAGCAAAGAGCTGGTGTGTTATGTTCTGTGATAATGTGGTTTCACGTAAGTTTCCTCGTTTTGACAGCAAAATGGAGGCGCTCCACTGGGCTTAATTACAATTCCTTCTCATACTCATTTTAAAGCTTCAAGAAAATGGCTATTTCAACTCTGGGTCTGGTTTTCTACTCAGTGCTTTGAAAGGGTTTACTGAAAACCTCAACTCTACCGAAACGTTCCTGTTGCTTACCTTGCACTAGAGTAACTCTGTGTGAGTACAGTGGAGAGCCACTTGGTTTTCATCGTCTGATACACAAACGCTTCATTGTACAGTAAACAGCAACACACTCTCAGTGATCTAAAGGCACACTGTCGTTGCTCCTTGATTTTCTGTTCTACTTTTAACTCTGCGGTGATTAAGTTTCCTGTCTCCTATGACAAACACCTCTCAATTTACTCCGAGTGTCCAAACAGCTTAGTTTCTATTAAATTTTTAAAAATTTATTTAGTAGTCCTCCAACCGTTAAAATATAGAATTCAAATTTAAATCAACAGTTTTCTGCTTACATTAAATCTTCTTCCATTCACATATGAAAAATCAACAGGTAAAACAGAATTTAAGTTTTTAATTCAGATGAAAAAATCTGAATGGATTATTAAGCTTACTGGCAGAGATGAATAAAAGCTCAGTAACTTTCTCTTCATCCAGGCCAAACAGACCCACTTTTCTCTCTCTTTTTGAAGGCATAACATACAGCACACAATAAAGGGAAATAAAAATGCTTCACCGTTCACTAGATCCCTGGATGATACAAACGGTTTGTACTCCACTACTAACCTAAAGGTTGGAGGTTTGAACCTACCCAGTGGCTCCACAGAAGAAAGGTCTGGTAAACCTAGCCAGCGGCTCCATGGAAGAAAGGCCTGGTGATCTGCTTCCATAAAGATTTCAGCCAAGAAAACCCTATGGAGCAGTTCTGCTCTGTAACACTTGAGGTTGCCATGAGTCAGATCAACTCCACAGCAACGGGTTTGGTTGTTTTGTTGGTTTTTTCACCATTCACTGGGACTCACAGCTTACATGAAAGAATCTCATCTTTTAAATGTATCCTGGGCTGATCTAATTTCTTAAAAGTATGTGCCCTTCCGGGTTTTCTGATATTTGAGTACCCTGTGATCCAAAGAATTACACCAATAGCAGCCACTACTCAGCAAGCTAAGGATTTGCCCCTAGAAGGGTAAGGGCCGCGAATGCTCAAGGAGCCTTAGGTTCTCAAATGCTCCCATTTTACAGATGCAAAGGCTGAAGCCCAGGGAGGGTGAACACCTTGCTCGGGCAGCTCACTGACTCCAAGAGTGATAACCAGGGAATAATTACAGGACACCGAGCTCCTGGGTACAGCTCAGGGTGCCAGCGGCCACAGCTCCACATGTCACCGAGCCAGAGGAGGTGCTCTAACATCCAATTAAATGAATCAGGAAGAGAGTCAGCCCCCCGCTATCTGGCAAACACCCTGAGATTCCTCTGGCAGCAAAAGCAAGGACCGGAGCTTGGCTCCCACGTGTCCCAACTCCCCCGTGGCTACGTCCAAACTAAAGGTCACTGCTTCTCCCAAGGATACTGTCTTCTCTTCTGTTTTTCTCCCAACGATAAACAATTCAACTGACAAGTTCCTCTTTCCCAATAAGCTCCTCTGGGGTGGAAATGAAAAGCTGCTGCAAACCTCTCTTCCTCTACTCTTCCTGGGTCTGCTCCCCGAAACCACATGACTGTGATCCTAGGCCGGAATCTTAACAAACAACACTTAGAACACTTCTGGGTTTCACAGGCTCCTTACAAAAAAGGCTTCACAAGACGTTTGAAAAACAAAAACTGACAAATACTGAGGTGTAGAGAGGTACAGAGGTCCCCCCGGGAGGTGGCAGGTTTTGTTAGTGTCTGTAAAACACTCTCCCATGTGTGGACCACTCAACAGTAATCACTATTTTGATAAGGGCACTTGCTTCCTAATCTATCTGACACGACTCTGCTGGGCTTCAGGCTGCAGCTGCTGAAATACAGGGTGTGCCCTGCACGGTCCTCTTCAGTGGCTGCAATGGGGAGCAGGGTTTTTGTCTTAGTCCCTGCGAAACGGGGCTGACTTTTCCGTTTTCCTGTTCTGATTTGTAAGACAAAGAGTTCTGCAGGTCTGCCAAATTCACTAAGATACTTTACAGCTACTCTCAAAGCTCTCAAATTTCATAAGCCTGACGTGACTTCACAACTACTACTTCTAAAGTACAAGCCAACATAAAAATCCATATTAGAAAAAAAGTTTAACTTGTTAGTCACCCTCATATCCCTGTACGTTTATAATACATCTTTCAGTAAAATTCAAAGACAAAAACTGATCTCTTCACATGTGATGAGGACACATTAAGAATCTATAAATAATAAGCACTTAGTCATTTGTAGAAAACTGAAAAACCAAATGATTAACATTTACAGCAGTGATCCCAGTGCATACTTACATACACATCCTTCTGAATACCTGCTAAGCTGGTTTCTGCACACGTCTCTCCCCAGCTAGCCTTTACAACACTCAGAGAAAAGGACTGCGTCTTCTACCTCTTTTTCTGCCTTCCTTGTGCAGGGTACTGGTCCAGAAAAGACCAAATGCTTGAGTGACACAAGGTGTTCATTTTAGAACCAAAAACCATCTTTCTGCTTTCTGACAGGCCTAATTTTATGTCCCAGTCATTCGTAAATTGCTGAAAGGCAGGGCTGAACTATTTTATTCTTACCAGAACTGGACACACGTCTGATCCTCTGAGGAGACAAGGCTCGGTCAGAATTGAGATTTCTACTTTCGCTTTTTCGCCTCAGAGAGGAGACAGCAGGCCCCACTTTAGCTTTTGGACCAGGTGTTTTCCTCACGCTGGAGGAGTCAGGCTTGGATATACTCCTAGCTGAGGTGGTGGCAGTTTTTGATGCAGGGCCCTGTGGGAAAAAAAAGAGTTAAGACTTTAGTCTAGATCATACTCTCCTTAAACCATTTCCTTGTGGTGTTAGCTATGCAACAGAAACTATTTCTAAGTGGATATGCGAGGTGGGCTTTTAACTTTCATTTGTACTATAAAGACATTAAAACTCATTTATTCTTCAATTCAATGACCTGTTTTTTTCCTCCCCCATCAGTGAAACTTTTCCCCCCCAAGAGCACTAGTGCCACGGGTTAAATTCAAGATAGTTTTCAGTCCTTTCCTACTGGCCCTCTTGGAGGCATCCAATGCTACTGACTCCATCTTTCTTTGGTTTCTCCAACAAAGCACCTCCCTGGTTTTCCTTCTCTGGGTGCTTCTCCTCTGTGCCCTAAAATGCTAGCCTCCCTGAAGTTTCTAAACTTAGCCCTCTTCTCTTTCCTCATCATATATGCTCCCTGGATGATCCTGTCCACCATTTCAACCACCACCTATACACTGACGCATCCAAATCAACACATCCAAGTAAGCACTCTCCCGAGTTCCAGACCCATACTTTTTTTTTTCAATTTTACTGTGTTTTAGGTGAAAGTTTACAGTGCAAATCAGTTTCTCATTCAAAAATTTATACACAAGTTATTTTGTGACATTGGTTGCAATCCCCGCACTGTGTCAGCACTCTCCCCCTTTCCACCGCGGGTTCCCCGTGTCCATTCATCCAGTTTTCCTGTCCCTTCCTGCCTTCTCATCTTTGCTTTTGGGCAGGTGTTGCCCATTTGGTCTGGTATACTTGATTGAACTGGGAAGCAAGTTCCTCTCATGTGTTATAGGCCTGTCCAATCTTTGGCTGAAAGGCGGACTTCGGGAGTAGCTTCAGTTCTGAGTTAGCAGGGTGTCCGGGGGCCACAGTCTCGGGGGTTCCTCCAGTCTCTGTCAGACCAGTAGGTCTGGTCTTTCGTTGTGAATTTGAATTTTGTTCTACATTTTAAACCTGCTCTGTCTGGGACGCTCCAGACCCACACTTTTAACTGCTTTCTGCATCCCCCCGACTCAGCTCGCTTCTGGCACCTCTACTTAACAGCAGTAATAAAAATCTTTTTTTTAATTAACATATATATCCTTCACTCTATGTAAAATATCATTCTAAGTACTTTCCACGTATCAATTCATTTAATCCACATAATAACCACATGAGACTGATACCTTTATTATAACCCATTTCACAGATGAGGAAGTGGTTTCTAAAGCTGAACTATGTTTGCCTACCCATCTCAAAATGTATCTGTTCCCATGGTCACCGTAACACACCTAGGCACTCACGCTGAAAACTGAAGACTATTTCCAGATGCCTGCTTCCTCATCTCCTAAGCCCCTCTTGCTGGGATTCTCTTTTCCATCTGCCTTAATGCAGGTCTGTGTCATTTTTTGCCAGGATTACTGAAACCATTCCTAAGGGTCTTTCTTCTTCCGGTCTCACCAACCTCAATTCACTTTTCACTTCCCCACTACAGCAATCTCTCTAAAGTTCAAATCGGATTGGGTGGCCTCCCTCTGCGTTCTGGATAAAGTCAATTCTTGACAAGGCACAGCAAGCCCTTCTGGATGTGGCAGCCGCCGCCACCCTCTTCAGCACATTCCTTACTCTTCCCGGTTCTGCACCTCTGGCTTCGTCACACTCACCACCTGGAGTCCCCTGAGTCAAGAATATCTCATGTTTCTTCATCCTTGCACACGTTATTCCCTCCACCCAGAAAATGCCCTTCCATGTCGCTCCTGCCCTTCAAGTTCTGGCCAGTGACTAACATGACACGTCCCCTAGAAACCTCCCTTGTCAGCGCCCCCTCCACTGACCTCACCACTTCCCCTTCTGCGGCACAGAGGTCTATGCATACTCCCAACCTGGCACTTAACACACCCTGTTGGTGTACTGTGTCCTATTATCTACTGCACCAGGAACTAGGTTTGTCCAGGGGCTGTGTTCTTCTTCTCTGCACCCCCACAATCAGCACTTTACCTAGTACACAACAGGTATTCAGTAAATGTCTGTATTCCACATACAGGAGTCCCTGGGTGGTGCAAATGGTTACCACGCCCAGCTGCTCACCAAAAGGTTGGAGGTTCAAGTCTATCCAAAGGTGCCTAGGAAGAAAGGCCTAGTGATCTACTCACGAAAAATAAGCCACTGAAAACCCTATGGAGCACAGTTCTACTTTGACACACATGGGGTGGCCATGAGTCAGAACTGACTGACAACAGCCAGTAACTGTTTTTATTCTATATACAGGAAACGGGAGCCTGAACCTTCCTCAAAATACCAATTACAGCACTGTAAGGTACAATGTGGGCATGTTACCAGGAGGGACCTGTCCCTGGGGAAGGACACCATACTTGGTAAAGCAGAAAGTCAGCGAAAAAGAGGAAGACGCTCAATGAGATGGAGTGACACTGTGGTTGCAACAATGGGCTCAAACATAGCAACCACTGCGAGGGTGGCTCAGGACCAGGCAGTGTTTCATTGTACGAAGGGACACGATGAGTCGGAAGCCACTCGATGGCAGCTAACAAACAAAACAAAAAGCTACAAGTTGTATTTTCACTTTACATAAAGAGAAATTGTGTCTCATAGAAACGAAGTAACTTGCCCAAGGTCACCAGAGAATGATGGAGCTGAAATTTGAATCCAAGTCTAACTCCAAGATTCATGCTCTTAACCTCTATGCTACGTATTTCTTGCCAGTACCCTTGTTTGTTTGTTTCATAAGTAATGACCGGATGATTTATAGGAGAGATACGAAAAGCCTCGGACCGACGGCAGGTGAATCCATAAACTACTGTCTTAACTAACTAGGCAAACATCCCAAGAGAACACCTGGAGGTCATGTTTGGACCCCAGAGAGCAATACAGAATTAGCTGACATAAGCAGATGACTGTACACAAACTAACAAAGGTCTTGAGCCCCTACCATCCCAAAGCAAGCTAGATTAACCCCCAGAGTAAACCTTCCTTTTAAAGGAAACAAAACTTCTAATCAACTAATGAAAGAGAATGTTCAGCAAATCAGATTTACTCTGCCTTTCAGAGCTAACATTCCACAAAATTTTAAAACCCTGTGGTGTAGCAGAAAAAGCAAGGATTTGAACCAGTGGATCTGAGTTCGAATCTCAATTCTACTAGTTACCAGCTGTGTGTTTTAAGTAACCTCTCTGAAGCTTTAAAATGTAGATAACAACTACCCTATTGTTACTGGGAAGAGTAAATGACAAAGCTTGTAAAGTACCTGAGCATTATTGGAAAAATTAAGTGGCATGATATATGTAAAGCATCTGAGAAAAGCAGAGCTTCGAACCTGAATGAACCGGTTCAAACCTCTGCTGAGAATTTGTATTTTCACCCCCAGATATACTGAATCAGAATCTACATTTTAACAAAAACCCCCATATCTTATCTATACATAAGAATCGTATCTATACTTAGGAATCACCTTGGGAATCTTGTTAAAAACGTAGATTCTGATTCAGTATATCTGGGTGGCAATGCAAATTCTCAGCAGGAGTTTGAACTGGAATAAACCAGTTTGAAGTCCTCAAGCAAAGTGCTTGGAACAGAGTAGGCACTGAATAAATATCAGTTCCTTCCCTTTTAGATAATTTACCTAACAAACAATCACCAATACAGAGCCTCTGTAATGAGTAACTACATTCAGCCCTTTGTATTAAATTAAAATCAGGTTCCTTCTTCCAAAAAGGAAACTTTCTGAAGGTTCAGATAAACCCTAACCACCAAAGAGCTGTAAGATTATGGTCAGCCTAAGGATTCAGTAAATTCAAGGCCTAATTTAGCCCAAGACTAACAGAACACAGAGAAAATTAACATCCCCCCAGGACTGTCTCATCATAGATTCAGAGCAGATTTGGAGTCTCTGGGTACTGCTGAAGTGATCGACAAACCAGAGTTTGAGTAAAACACACAGCGGATGGTGATTTCAGTCAGCTCTCTACAATAAGCGCAAAGCCTGGAACCTGTTTGTCCCTCGAGAATCCAGTCACCGTCGAGTCGACTCTGACTCCTGGTGACCCCGTATGTGTCAGAGTAGATGTGTGCTTGATATGGTTTTCAAATGCCCCTCAAGAGATACGTGGAAGTGTGCAAGGGGTGAACTAGCAAAATCACAGGCAACGTGTGCTTGAGACATGACCCCTGAGAAGTTTAGACCAGTGAGAAGAAAAAATGTCAGTGCTGAAAATACGGACCAGTCCTCCAGATTTACAATGTACTTCACCTTTAGTTAAGAAAACTAACTGCAAGAGTCCTAAGAAAAGATGAAAAGTGCTTCGTCTGAAAGATGTAGTGGGATGCATTCAACCTGATGATTTTATCATCTGACTTCAATGCCACATTACGAGCCTGAAAAACAGACTTTCATTCTGCGCATGGGAAATATACGGTTAAGACTTTCTCAATGCCCAAATCAGAAAAAAGCTTCAGATTCAAACTTATACAACCAATTTGTACTCAAGACAAATGTCATTTAAAGAAACTATGCTAATCACAACTCCACGCCCTCCACCAGACTGGGTCCAGTACAACTAGATGGTGCCCGGCTACCACGACTGACTGCTCTGACAGGGAACACAACAGAGGGTCCTAGACAGAGCTAGAGAAAAATGTAGAACAAAATTCTAACTCACAAAAAAAGACCAAACTTACTAGCCTGACAAAGACTAGAGAAACCCCAAGAGTATGGCCCCCAGACATAGCTCAGTAATGAAGTCACTCCTGAGTTTCACCCTTCAGTCAAAGATCAGACAGGCCCATAAGACAAAACCAGACTAAAGGGGCACACCAGCCCAGGGGCAGGACCAGAAGGCAGGAGGAGACAGGAAAACTGGTATTAGGGAACCCCAGGTTGATAAGGGGGAGTACTGACATGTCGTAGGGTTGTTAACCAATGTCATAAAACAATATGTGTACTGACTATTCAATGAGAAACTATTTGTTCTATAAACCTTCATTTAAAGTACAATTAAAAAAAAAGTTAAACCAAAAGGAAGGCCAAAGGGCTTTTCGGTTAAAAAATTTTAAGGAACTTTTGTTGTTTTTTTTGGGGTTGGGGGCCGGTTCTCCATTAACGGCTTTCCGGGTTCCTTCAGGGAGGATTAATTTCTTGTTTCGATGCAATTTGTCAACACCAAACGAAGAATGTTGACAAGAGCTACCAGAAGTTATTAGAATTTAATTTAAAACAATACAGGCAAAGCTAGTTTCCTAAATTTGACTTCAAGAGAACTTCCAAAATCTATGTTTTGAAATAATGCATAGTAGTCTAGAAATCACTGTAGTCTATCGTTCTTCCTAACAGAGAAGATGAATTTTTAAAACCAGAACATCTCTAAACTGACCCAGCTCAAACATGTCTTCACGTTTTCCCTAACCTGATCTCCTAAAAATTCCTGGCAATTCCCTCGTGTGTGTGCCCCCACGCACCCTGAACACGCTTCTACAACAGCCTTTTAACTCTGTGCCATAGTCCCCGCGGTACTCCCAGGGGCTGGCAGTCTCATATCTGTCTCCACACCCTGTCACCTCGCTCCACGTCTGGCCCACAGCAGGTGCCCAAGAAAAGCCTGTGTGAGCTGAAAATATGCGACGAAGGTTAGGTTGAGGATAAGTACGTATAGTCCAAAAAGGGCCAGTCAAATGTTTTAAAAACTCTGAAAACTAGTCTCTTCAAGCTGTTGTCAAAACAATACATGTGTAAAGAAAAATCATCTTTTGGGAATTGTAATCAGACTCTGTCATTAAACAGAACTCTTTAATTCCCCCGAATATGTGATAAAAACCAAATCAGTAAACAGAACTCTCTAATTCCCCCAGATATGTGATAAAAACCACACCCACTGCCATCGAGTGGACTCTGACTCACAGTGAACCTACAGGACAGAGTAGAACTGCCCCATCGGGTTTCCAAGGCTGTAAATCTCTACGGAAGCAGGCTGCCACATCTTGTACCTGCGGACCCACGGGTGGTTTCCAACTGCCCACCTTTTGGTTAGCAGTCCAGCAGTTTAACCACTGTGCCACCAAGGCTCCAAATATGTGATACCAAAAAAAAAAAAAAAACCCAAATCCGTTGTCGTGGAGTTGATTCCAACTCACAGCAACACGGCAGGACAGAGTAGAACTGCCCCACAGGGTTCCCAAGGAGCAGCTGGTGGATTCTAACTGCTGACCTTTTGGTTAGCAGCCGAGCTCTTAACCATCGCGCCAGCAGAGCTCCAAATATGTGATAAACAAAAAAAAAACCCAAACTTGTTGCCGTCAAGTCGATTCTGACTCACAGTGACCCTATAGGACAGAGCAGAACTGCCCCATAAAGTTTCCAAGGAGCGATTAGTGGATTCAAACTGCTGACCTTTTTGGTTAGCAGCCACAGCACTTAACCACTACACCACCAGGGTTTCCAAATGTGTGATAGGTACTATGAAAAAGAACATACACAGGCAGTACCTGAGTTACGAACAAGATCTGTTCCTGAGTTTGCCTTTAAGTCCAATTTGTAGGTAAGTCGGGAACAGGTGCATATAGGTCTTATTCAGCCTTACTTTAGTGCAAGAAGAAGGAGCCCTGGTGGCGCAGTTTTTAAAGTGCTCAGCTGCGAACTGAAAGGTCTGCAGTTCGAACTCACGAGCCACTCCATGGGAGAAAGATGTGGCAGTCTGCTCCCGTAAACATTTACAGCCTTGGAAACCCTATGCGGCCGTTCTACTCTGTCTATAGGGTCACTATGAGTCAGAACAGACTTGACAGCAACAGTAGGGGTTGGTTCATCATTTCAAAGTGAGGGCAAACTTACATAACATTAAACGGCAAGGTGAAGTTATCGGTAAGTCTGACGTTTGTAACCCGGGACTTCCTGTACTGCTTTTTCACTATTCATGAATACAATGGATTTTATTTTAGGTACCAGTAATCAATACATTATAGCTGCAAGAGACCCGAGACATCCAACTAGTCCAGTCCTTTCTCCTTTGCACCTCAAAAGGCTACCTGCCCCAAATCCCATTTGCTGGTCAGAGGCAGAATCAAGAACACTGCGAGACAGAGCCCCGCTTCCGGGAACCACCTTCCTCGACAACAAGACACCAGCAGCTATTTTTAAGCAGATACTGTTTATCAGCACTCACTAGCCATTTCTTAAACATGGGCCAGCACGTTTTCAAGTTTATAAGCAATCCCTTTTTTTCAGAAATATAAAATTTAATCAGATTATAATCAGACATGTGACTTCAAATCTATATTAAAATAAAAAGGAACATTGACACTCTATATAAAATACCAAAGTTAAGGATTTTCAATATGCAGCTTATGCATACTGTCACCTAGCAACACTCTAACATGTACTGATGACTGACAAGACCGAGAATTACTGAATAATGTATTAACACCTGCAAACAAATCTGCACCTCTAGTTCTACCATATTCTTAACCGCTAACGAAGACCAATTGCTAATGTATCTCTAAGTGTCCACCACTACTCTCTGCAGCAGGCAAAAAGTTTCACTTACCAAAAAGAAAGAACCATATTCAAAGGTCTCATTCAAAATTTCCCTTTTTAGCTCTTGCTTTTCCATAGGTGTCCCATTTCCTTTTTCACCCTTTTTTTCAGGGCTAATCCGATTGATGTTAGAAACATACGTCATTCCCAAACATGCTTGGTTCTCCACTGTAACAGGGAGCATGCCTTTGATCTTCTGGAAAAACGCAGCCACGGACCCGGTCTCACATGCTGAATTAGAAGAACTTTCTTTGTCAACATCTTCCTGATTCGATTTCACGGCAGGTGTTGTTCTTGGAGGCTTGCGTGAAGCATTTTTAGAATGAGTTGTAACACGCACAGTCTGGCTAGTAATGAGTTTATTAAATTGCTGCTTATGTGTCTTGTTAATTAGGATTTCTGCTTTTGTGTCTGCATTCAAGTCGGATCTTGGCGTTTTGCTCACAGCTGTCACCTGTCTTGAGGAAGACACTGATGAGGGGGATGGCGCACTGACCAGCTGCGGTCTGGGTGTGACCTTTGATAAAGCCGGGTCTTTGGACTGCAACACTGGTCTAGAAATAACTTTGGCTTTGACATTCTTGAAGTTTGGTCTTGGGTAACTTATAATTTCAGTTTTTCTAACTTTGCTGCCTATAGGGGTGTTAGTTTTGGTTGCTGATTTTCCTAGGCTGGTTTTAGACGTATTCATAGGTGTTTCCTTCAAGCTGAGTAAATTTCTACGCTCTCGGTTACTCCTCTCCACTTCACGACACTGCTCTGTTGCTTCCACAGGTGAAATAGAAAAGGTTGCATTCGTAGGTTCTAGGACTGGCGTTGACATGCAAACTGTGTTACTTGCGCTACTGAACATATCATTTGCGGTCCAGGACAGTTCAAATGATGAAGCCATCTTTTGTCCCGGTGGGCTACTTAGTGTCAATTCTAAGGTACCATTTTGGGTTCCCAAATCCTTTTCATTGGAAGCAATTTGTGTATCTTCAATCACAGCGCCTTTATGCTCCGGGTTCAGCACTTGGACTTTACTTTTATCAAAAGCTGGCACTGGTAAAGGGCATTCATCATCTATAAGACAATTGGACACTGTTTCTCTTAGATTTTGGCCCATTTCCTTTTGCCCATATGAGCTCTGTGAATGTGTCTCACTATTTGGTTCATCTTTAGATAAACAAAAGAACTCTTGTAATACAGACCCACTGGGAACATCCATGCCATCAGAAACTGGTGTTAGAGCTTGTATCTCTTGTTCTCCAACTCGTCTTTGCTGTGACCCATCTGTGTACCCACTGGTGACCCTTCCTGAAGAATACTGACACTGATTTCCAATATCTGGAACAACAACATCAGTTTGCATCACCCCATCAGGAAATACTGTGTATGTTGTATCTTGGACCTCTAATGATGCTGCGAGGGAGTTTTCAAGGCTCTCTCTATCATAACTCTTCTCTCTCACATGCATCTTGTCAGAATGGGAAGATGTTAGAGCAGAGCAGGATAAAGATGTATCTTCATCTCTCGTGCCGGCTGGCTGCAGACTTCCAGTGGTATGAAAAGACGGACTCTTATCAATGGCGTGATGCGTTGTAAAGATGGAGTTAACTTTATCCTCTTTGAAGTCAAATGTCTGGTTTAGCTCCAAGGCAGTAGGGTGGACTGTACAGTTCAAATCAGCGTTAGGCTTCCACATAAAAGGCAGTGTTGTTGGCTCTACACTCTGGTCCTGAACGTCTCCTAGGGGATGACAAGTGTGATGCAGGTACTCGGGCTCCTCTGTGTTTAAAATACAAGCAGAAGGCTGACACATGAAATCTTTGTGCGTATCTAACATCCCCTTACTAATGAAATCACTTGAAGACTTTTGGTGATCAAGTACTTTAACACACTGATGGTTTAAAGAAATATTTTCACCACTGTCCACAGCAGGGTTGTTGGTTTCATAATCAACCACCATGTAATCTGGTTTGGCAAGATTCCAGTTCACATCACTAGTTGAAGAATTTTGAGTAGGTGGTGATTTGGGGTTGTATGGATACATATTTCCATTTTTATCACGGATAAATAAGGATTGTGATTCATTTTCTGTCTTGCCATCTGAATTATCATCGTTCATCCTGAATATTAACTTCAAACAGCTGCCATTTTACTTCTTCTTCAAGTTCTTTCAAATGAGAGGGAGGGAAAAACTGCTTCCTGAGTTTTTCAGCACAGTTAAAGGTTTTTTAGTCTAAGATATCCATCAATGTAGCTTTTACTTTGAAGTTGAAATGATTTAGTTGTTCCCTGTAAAAAACAAAACATTTAACTCAAGTAAATATTAGGAAAATTAACAGGTCTCCCCTTTATTAATTTCAATCACTTTACTTTCACATTGATAACCTAAACTACTGGGTAATTAAGATACCAGTAGCTCTTTCACTGGGGGAACAGAGCAGAATGGAACAGAGACACACTGCCAAAAGTGCTCCATGACTAGCTTCACAGCTGAGATGCTTGCTTCCCACTCTCCAGCACTTGGCAACAGGTCTTCCTTCTTGCACGCTGACAAAGTGACCATTTTGTCTTCATTTGCCAACGACAGTCCTCACTTACGCCTGTTGTTGCCGAATTACTAACAGTGCCCCTTTCGCTCTCAGAAGGGTCCCCTATTGTTTCTGTGGTGAATGATGACCGGACAGAACAGGCAGGCCGAGAACAAGAGCTAAGATCACACAACAAAGACTTAAGGCATTAGCCCTGCTCCTCCTGTATCATCTATCTTAAACACATGCCACTCACAGATGGGGGGGAAAAAGGCTTTTGACTCTTAAAAGTTAAAACGATACTCTGATGGCAGTTTTTCAAAAGGTTAAACAGAGTTACCATATGACCCAGCAATTCCACTTCTAAATATCTACCCAAGAGAAATGAAAACATATGTCAACCTAAAAACCTGTACATAAATGTACATTATTTGTAATAGCAACATTATTTGTAACAGCCAAAAAGTGAAAACAATGTAAAGGTCCATCAGCTGGTGAATGGACAAGCAAAATGTTGTATATCCATAGAAGGAATGAAGTACTGACATTTGCTATAACATGGATGAACCGTGAAAACATTATACTAAGTGAAATAATCTTGTCACAAAAGACTATCTACTGTATGATACCATTCATATGACATGTCCAGAAAAGTTAAATCTATAGAAGGAGAAAGTTGATTAGTGGTTGCCTAGGGTTAGAAGTCCCTGAGTGGTGCAGATAGTTAAGTGCATAGCTACTAACCAAAAGATTGGCAGTTCAAATCCACCCACAGGCGCCTGCCTCAATCTGCTTCTGAAAGATCACAGCCATGAAAACCCTATGGAGTGCAGTTCTACTCTGAAACACATGGGGTCGCCATGAGTCACAACTCAAGAGCAACTTTTCTGTGGGGGGAAGGCTGGGGAAGGGCTAGGGTGTAGGCATGGGAAGTGAATGTTAATTGGTACAGGTATTCTTTTGAAGTCGATGAAAATATAAATTGGAAGGTTAGATTTAGGTGATGGTTTTGCAATGCTGCAAATATATTAATTCATGACCGTTGGGATAGATGGCTGCCCACCAACATTTTCTGCCTCTCAGGTTTATTGGGAAGCTGCTGTACCACTGACAGTGCATGCCGCCACAAGGCAGGGGCCTTTATGACTGTTTGAAACTGAAACAAAGGGGTATCTGCCGCAAATTATGTTTCTACCGGATATTGTATGAGGTGTGTGCACTTTTGACAGGAAAACTAAAAACGCTGAAAATTTTTATTTGGCACACATATATATACCAATGGACTCTGGGGGGGACTCTAGGGTAGAATTAGTGGGACAACATATGTCTCAAAGGGCAGCCTGTCTCAAAGGGCAGGCTTGTGGGAAGGGGCAAGGAAAAAAAAAAACCATAACTACCTATCAAAAATTTAAACACAGTCAATGATTCAGTATGCTTCCATTAATGAAAACACATAGTATCAATAAAAATTCAAAGCAGAAAAAACTGGGTCTTGAAAAGGTTAAAAAAACAATGAATTACACACTTAAAAAAATTTTTTTTAAACATGAAAGCTTTCAAATCCAAGGGTTTGTGCAAATAACTTACATTATGATTTTGGGCAAACGGAAGTCCTTAAGAAAGGTTCAACGATCGAGCCAGGACTGCAAATAAATCATACAGCGATCTGTTCATTTGAACTGGCCTTCTAATCCTAGTACTTAATGTCAATCAGACATTACAGTTCTGTTATGAAGAAATAAAATATCCATGAGGAAAAAAAATGGCACTGTGACCTACAAATTTCAGAATCAAGAGTAGATCTCATTTTTTTATTTCATAATCTTTACCCTGTATTCAAACATCTGTGACCTGAACACAACCAGAAGAACAGAACTATGAAGAACTAAAGGATCAGTATCTTCACAACAGTCCTCTGTGTGTTTCTGGCCCTGAATCCTGAAACCAGCCTTTACTGGGGGAAGCAAGAAAGACGGCAATGTTTATCTTCACAGTGTGCTCGCCCACCCCCGCCCACACACACACTCAGAAAGAGATTCTGAATCCTAAAATAAGAGCTGTATGATTTTTATACCGCTGGACAGTGTAAATGAGTCAACTTTTTTTTTTTAAACCATACAGCTCTTTCATTCATAAAGGAGCCACTGAAGGAATAGTTTATTGGCTAGCACATTAAAAGCTTTTATGAAACATAAATTAATATTTTTAATCTTTTAGTATAAAATATGTTCAAGCTAAATGTTTAAATCAAGAAGTAGCTTTATTCATTTTTAAGCGTATGTGTGTGGGGTATAATTTCTGTTTAAACACCTTTCTGTTTCTATGAAGACCATTACTCACTTAAGATAATCTAGTATAAACAAATACGAGCAAAGAACAAACTCGTTGCCATCAAGTCGATTCAGAGTCCTAGCAGCCCCCCGTGTTACAGAGTAGGGTTTTCCTGGCTGTAATCTTTACAAAGGCAGATTCCATGCCAGGCCTTTATTCCTTGGCAGCACTGGGTGGGTTCAAACTGCCAACCTTTAAGTTAGCAGTCAAGCACAAACCATTTCCGCCCCCCAGGGGCCCTAAATATGAACAAAGAGCACTGCAAATATAAGCACTGAACATAAATCATATAAATTATTTGTCTTTATAAATAGTCCTCAGATGCAACTGATGCAGCTTTACTACTTAAGCTCCCTCTTCCAAAGCACATAAAAGATGATTTAAAAAAAAAACTGAATAAAGTGAATGGTTCATACATCAAAGCATTTCAAGTTATTTTTCAAATCAATGTACAACACGTTTCTTTGGAGAACTTATACCACCAGCTCCATGTCATAGGGTGTTTAGGTTGTTTCCAGTCTCCTTAACCAAAATAAAATAAATACCTTTGCAATCTTTGACTATCTCTGAGTACTCCCCTAGCAAAAACTTTCTGAAAATAGAATAATACTAGGTATGAAAATTTGAGGCTCTTGATATAGTTCGATAAATCGTTAAACGCAAAAAAGGGCAAGGCAGGATTCTTTATACTGTATCTATTCGTGCATTTATTTAACAGATACATGACCTGAGTTTTGCTCTTACAGTTGTGTATTTTGTTTAACATTGTCTCATGAGCTCTTTTTCATGTAACATAAAAACATTTCTCAGGGTTGTGAAATTCCATGAATGTTACAGTTAAATATTTTAGATCTACAACAAGTCAGTGATTTACAGAGTAACAGGAGAACAAAGAAGCCGGCAAGCTTTCAACGTTCACCAAGTACACTTGGGTTTCTGATTTCTTTAATTCACAGAAACAAAGAATTTCCAGACCTGGGGAGCAAACTATCAAAAATACCACAAAAAATGTATTCAGAAGAAATACTTAAGCAGAGTTCTGATACAAAATTGAGTTATGGAAGTTTTTTTCTACCTTTATAGGTAAGAATAAAGAATTAGTGGGTATAGAGATGTGGGTATCAAAGAGGTTCTGCAGTTAAGTTTATCATTATCAGTTCACCATTCACCAAAGAAAACAACAGCTTTAAGTCACTATCACCATGAAGATAAAGTGGTGGACAGAAAAAGTTGGCCACTCTTCCCTCAGAAATTATGTTAAAAATGTTAATGTTAAAAGTTGGCCATTTTGTCTTACGGAAATTTCATTCCTCTCCTACTTAAAAACAGAACCTAAATTTCCACCACCGTAGACACGTATTCTTGGACTTGGTCTCACCTGGCGCATAAAGTAATGTTCTTCTAGTGTTATAGCTGCAATATAATTTGTAAAACTGTCAATATGTTCTGGTTTTATTAAAGCAAAAAGTAGAGAATTAAAAACAAACAAACAAAAGAAACAGAAATAAAAACTTGGAACAAATCCTCGCCCGAAGGGGTAATTTCTCAAGCTGTCCTTCAGTAGCACTATCTGCCAAGACCAAGTAGAAGGATCAAGTTTCTTTTGCAGGAGAGCCATTTGGGAAAACAGGGAGATCCTTTTCAGAGAACATTCTACACTAGAGAGAACAAATCCTCCATTTATTAAGGTTTGGGAATATGACTAGGGTAGTTCCTACTAAATGAAGAGATTATCAAAATGTAAATTTCTATAATGATTAGTAAGTTGAAAAATTGGCAAATATGAAATGGAAAATATAGTCATATGGTCATATAAAGAACTACTAGTACAAGCTTTGAGCTGTATAGTTGAAAAAGCTTTATTACTTTGAGATCTTTGGAAAAAAATACTTTCTAAATTGTAGCTTAAGAATGCTTATTTATTTCTCAAAGATAAAAGTTCCATTATTTCTTACAGTGAATAAAAATTATATTATTTAAAATCATCATCATATATAATTGTATTCATTATCATATTAAAGCTGGAAGAAAATGTGGAGAACCAACTCCAACTTCATTTTACAAACAAGGAAACAAACTGAGAAATAACAGCATGACTTGGCCAAAGTCGTTATTAGTAGCAGCTTACTACTGGGTATACAACCGCTGTGTGTCTTCTTCCATTAACTGAACTATAAATTCAGCAGCGGTAGGAACCAGGACTTCTACATCTTCCTATTACTTGTACGGTCTAGCCCAGTATTTGTACTTAATATACCGAAACCTGCTATACCAAAGGATAATTATGAAATAAAGAATATGTTTGTATAAGTCACACATGAAAACGAATTTCATTCTTTTTTAGCCATACAGAACTTTAATTTTACTCCTTTTTACGTCAATATATGACAAGCCAGTCTTTTAAGAAGAGAATGCAAATACAGTTATAAC